TGAGAAACCTTCGGACAGTTCAACGAAGACCATTCACTTTGTTCTTCAAATTTTTCGTACGATTTCACAGACTTTAACCACAGTTAATACATAGAAAGGTAGAGACTTTTCCAGGCTTTAGAATGAGCTAAAAATAATCTTCCCAGAAATATGCCCATATAGGACAATTGTCAAAATGCTTGACAGATATCATGTTTTTCGAGCTTGTTTTCATTGACTAAGAAGTGAGTTTATTCTTTATTTCTACCTTACAATAAAGGTAAGTATAGTTAATATAATTGAAAAACATTTATTAAGATGTTTTTCAATTATATTAAATATACTTAGTTTTATAAGAAATGTAAAAAGGTCAAAAAATGTCAATATACAATATAGGTAGAAACAAAGAAATATATATGAATGGATCATTTACTTTTATAAAATAAAGATAAATTTTTTTTTCCATTTATTTATCTTTATTGTATAAAAGTATATAATCCATTTATCTTCGTTTTTTATACATAAAGTATCCGTGTAGATTTATTTTCTAAAGTTACACTAAACTAACATCCCTAACCGTGATGGGTTCCAAACATCCCGAAAATTCTAAAAGCCTTCCATTGAACGTCGGCATCAAACAAATTTAGAAATATTCTCCTTGCTGTGGCTTAATGTCAGTGTTGATTCAAAAGAAAATCGAGAAACACAAAGAAAATTAAGAGCCGTAATAAATTATCTTAAAACGCTCCACACATCTGACGAATGTAAAGAATATATTCAACAAGTGAAAAATGAGAAAATTGTGTTAATTAAAAGTGGGGAATTAGGAGAAAAGTTTGTTCCTCATATTCATGATCTCTCACAAATATCAGCTATTTATGTTTATTGTAGGAATAAAGCAAAAACTGAACAATGAACAACTAATTAAGATAAAGTCAGCAACCCTTTATAACAATTTCTTTCTTTTTCTAATAATTATCTCATTCTTTTAGGTTAAAGATGTATTCAATGATTCGACTGTTCTTATTAACCAACTCTCTGTAGAGCAACGAATTTGGTCTCAAGTTGAAGTAACATTAAACATATCTGTCTATTCCTCAGTAGATCAGATTGACCTTGATGGTGCGTTTATTTGGTTTCAACTTCTCATTGATGTCTTAATCCGTCTATCTCGATCAACGAGTGATATGAAGAAATTAGTGTATATATGCAAAGACATTTATGAAAATAATCCAGCTGAAGAAATTTGAGAGAGATTATTGTGATGATAAAAGTATCTGGTTGTATACGAGAGATTGTTGTCTATATCGAATACTTAACAAAGCTCTTCGTCTGCAAGATATTGATATTCTATTTTCAATGAGATATTTTCATTAAAGATATTCTGATCAACTGAAACAAGAACATGAAAAATTTATTCAAAGAATAACATCATCTGTCATTCAACTTTATCGAGGACAAGCAATCCGAGTAGATGAATTAAATAATCTAAGGACAAACGAAGGACATTTGATATCAATGAATAATTTTTTATCAACAAGTTTAAGCAGATCTCTCGCATTATCATTTCTACCACTAGTTACTTCTACCGAGACATTGCAGCGTATTCTATTTGAAATTAAAGTTGATACTCGCCTGGATACTCGTCCATTTGCTGATATTTCTCATTTGAGTTACTTTCAGAATGAAGAGGAAGTATTATTTACATTTAGTTGAGTATTTCGACTAGAAAATGTTTCATATGACCGGACCGAACAGTTTTGGATTATCAAGTTAAATCCGTGTAACAACGATGATCAAGATATGAAACAAGTGTTTAATGATATTCGAGGATGCATCGATGAGCATGAAAAAGAAGTTAATCTTCTGACACTCGGTAGTGTATTACATAGCATGGGCGACAGAGACAACGTCAAAAAGTATTGTACTCGTCTATTGAATGAACTAACAGATGATGATATAACTACTGCTCATTGTCACTGCCGACTAGGAGAAGTCGCTGCTACATTAGGTGAATATGATGAAGTACTTGACCATTTGAATAAAGCTGTTATATTGTACAAGAGAATTCAACGTGCAGATGATACATTAGATATTAGTCATTGTTATTTTTGGTTGGGAAGACTTTACAGCGATAGAAAAGAATATAAAACAGCTCTTGAATGGTTGGATAGATCCCTGAAGATAAAACAATCACAACTTCCTGCTGTTGATTTTCAAATTGCACAGACTTTACGTGAAATCGGTAATGTTTATTACTATCAGGGTGACGATGGTTATGATTAGATGTCTTAAAATGTACCATCCCTCTTCGATGCCATATATAAGTCCGTCGTATAAGTTTATATTTCAAATGTAACTTGCTCTTTTCAGTATTCCTTTATTTCTTCACTATTTTCGGTGTTGCATTAGCATAAGCTAGCCTTTCTTTGCAACAACCATGCTTGCAAAAAAATAAAAATTCAGTTCAGTTCAGTTCAGTTCAGAAGGCAGAAATATGAGGAAATTATATATTATTTGTCGCTTGTTTTAACTCAAAACTTTCATCCAATG